GGTGGGTACAGCTAGTCTCTCATAAAAGGACATTATGTGAGTTGATGTAACCGATCACATGATTGTACAGATGTTCTGAATTACGAAGAATAAACTACTTGTTCTTTACTGTTCATCTGCATGGCATATTTTCTTTCTCTGGCAAGGCAGTGTGTGTGCTAATCAAACATGAACTACACATGGTTTATTTTACATTATGCCACAAACACTTTTGACTAGCATGTGATTGAATGTATAGAAGCCATGTTCTGTTTTAAACCTGGCAACCCTCTGAGATACCCATATGGCGGGTGTGATTATAATGCGAAATCATATTTAATCATAGTTCAGTTGATGTTTAAAGAGCAGGTAATCGATCTAGAAAATATTCTTAATGTCTGTGTTCTGCCATGCTGGGTCCTGCTCTTGAAAAGGAGGGATGCAAATCCAGATGATTAACTGGGTGGAAATGGGTGCCCCGTTGCCCCATCCAACAGCTTCAGTACAACTGCTTCTCGTATTAACTGTAGGTATCTAGGAACCAATATTACTGCTCCTATAAATCACTTCAGAAGAAGTAGTCCTCCAGGCAAGCTGCAATGCTCAGCCTGGATCTATGTGGCACCATAAATGCTCTGACATGTGTCCCAAATTGGCCATTAACTCTAATGGGCATTATTTTTGGGCCTCTCTCTCTCTCTATGTGCATGAATAATTTTTCATGCTTGGATGGCTGAAATCCAGTGGCACGGGATAAAAGAAAAGAGAACCACTCGGACTATGTTCAGTGTTTCAGTGATATTTTGCTTACGAGTGCCAGCTTTCATTAATTTAATTGGTAGATTAAGCCACTAAGGCTTTAATCCAGGTTAAGACTGAGTCCTGCTGATGTTGGTGGGGAGCCTGGAGAATTCACAACTATAGGTCGAGTGTTAGAGAAGGTTACTTTTTGGATTTTTTTCTCCATGTCAGGAGCAACTTGAGAAACTGCAAGTCACTTCTGGTGTGAGAGAATTGGCCGTCTGCAAGGACATTGCCCAGGGGATGCTTCTCTCATTTCCCTTCATGAGAAGCTGGAGCTGAAAGACAGGAGCAACTCAAGAAACTGCAAGTTGCTTCTGGTGTGAGAGATGTGGCACAGCTGGCGGGGAGTCAGCTGCATTAAGATCACTACTGACTGAAAGGTCATGAGATCGAAGCCAGCCCAGGTTGGGGTGAGCTTCCAAATTTGTGTATCTTGCTGTCGACCTTTGCAGCCCAAAAGACAGTTGCATCTGTCAAATAGGAAATTTAGGTACCGCTTATGTGAGGAAGCTAATTTAACTAATTTACAATGCCATAAAATCTCCAGCAAGCAAGCAAACAATGAGGAAGTACTCCATCAGTGTCACAAATGGACGGTGAAGTGACAGCTCCCCTGGTGGCCAGAATACCCTCATGAAAGCTGGAAAGTTAAATAGCCTCTGTGTGTCTGTCTATGTATGTTGTGTGTCTATGGCATTGAATGTTTGCCATGTATATGTACATTGTAATCCACCCTGAGTCCCCTGCGGGGTGAGAAGGGTGGAATATAAATACTGTAAATAAATAAATAAATAAATAAATAAACAATTGGCCATCTGCAAGAATGTTGCTCAGGGGGTGCTTCTCTCATTTCCCTTCATGGGAAGCTGGAGCTGAAAGACAGGCGCTCGCCCCGCTCCCTGGACTCAAACCACCAACCTTTCAGTCAGCAGTCCTGCTGGCACAAGGGTTTAACCCATTGTGCCACTGGGGGTTCCTTTTAGCCTGGTCAGGCCCAAAGATGTCATTCGGATGGTTCACAGTATTTCAACTAAACCAGTTCTTATCATGTGTTGGGTTTCCCCAATTGTGTGTGGTTGGAACAGAAAACAGTTTTGCTGCACCCTTTCCTTTTAAGCCATACATTCATTGGTTCAGAGCTTTTGGTGACTACAATAATCTTGGCAATTAGTTGGGTGCACACACACTGAATCCAGTAGGATTGAGAATGACAGAACTGGAAGAGACCTCAGAGCTCATCTCATCTGACTCCCTGTTGTACTCCAGAGCAGGAACACCTCTGACCTTAAATGCCACACCAGCTTGGTAAAATCAGCAAGCAGTTTATTGAAGAATAAATATGGGCAATGTAGTAAAAATGGTAAAAAAACAGTATAGTTCCAAGATAAAAAATAGTCCTCATGCTAGCCTCATGAAACTGGAATAAGCCTTCTCTTCCAAACATTTTCCACAAGGTAAAACACGAGATTCAAAGGTACAAAATCCACAGAACAAGGCAGCATGAAAATCCAATTCACAGATCAAGAGCCTGGCAAAACTTCGTACATGAAACAAGGAACACTTGGAAACAAGACTGTGATGAAATTCCAACGTTGATGAGACTGAGGCAATTCCCAAGTTCAGGTGCAGACAGCCTTATTGATGACTGGCATTTGGGATAAATGTTGGTAGATCCCTTATGATGAACTTGAAAACGTTACTTTTAGAGACTGCAACTCCCAGAATCTTGTAAGATTTGTTTTGCTTACGGTTTTAGGAATTGTAAGCAAAGCAAATCACATGTCCAAGTCCAGGTGCAGACAGGCTTATTGACGATTGGCATTGGGATAAATGTTATGATGTACTTGGAAACTAGGAACACTTGGAAACAAGACCGTGATGAAATTCCAACGTTGATGAGACTGAGGCAATTCCCAAGTTCAGGTGCAGACAGCCTTATTGATGACTGGTATTTGGGATAAATGTTGGTAGTGTGATGGCGCGAGTGGCGCCACCTGTGTATAAAACTTTAACGTGCAAAGGTTTAAACTGTATAACATGCCCAAACTTGCCTAGTTTGTAAATGTATAGTTGGATTGATTGGTTATTTATAGCTGTCAATCAATGTTGTTTGCACCAGTTATATTGCTTCCTCAGCTCAATTGCTTGGCTCCACCTCTTCCTGGAGGAGGGCAGAGCTTTTCCTTTTCCATTCTACCATCAAACTTTCTATCAGATAGATGTGAGAAAGAGACTTGGCTCTAAAGCCCTTAATTAAGTTACCTCTCATCACCAATTCTAAGGTTTTTACCCTTGGGACTCATACTTCATGTCCAGATCACCCTGGACAATGTTGAGGAGACCCAAGCGCCTTCAAACCGGTCCTTTGGCATCAAAAGGAAGACTCTGTGCCTTCAACATAGGCCATTGGACTGGGGGTTGTGTTTGTTCCGACCTTCACAGCCATTGAGAAAAGAGGGAAAGGAAAAGCTTCTCAGCTGCGAAATCTCCTTGGACCCAAGACAACCAGAGACTGTAATGTATATTTCCTTTATCCCCTTTGAAACTTCCAGCTTATTGCCTTAAAGGGATAACTCTTTGTGAACAATAAAACCTATTTTGAGTTATCTACAGTGTTTTGGTCCTTGGGAGTTCAAGTTCTCTAAAAGAAGGCAAGAAGCAATCCCCTGGGAGAAAGATGTCATGTCTATGTCTCTTTCACTAAGAGTTATAGCCCCCAGGTGTGACGGCATAGGTAGACCCCTTATGATGAACTTATGATGAAAACGTTACTTTCAGAGACTGCAACTCCCAAAATCTTGTAAGATTTGTTTTGCTTATGGTTTTAGGAATTGTAAGCAAAACAAATCACAAGTCCAGGTGCAGATAGCCTTATTGACAACTGGCATAGGGATAAATGTTATGATATACTTGGAAACTAGGAACACGTGGAAACAAGACCATGATGAAATTCCAACGTTGATGAGACTGAGGCAATTCCCAAGTTCAGGTGCAGACAGCCTTACTGACGACTGGCATTGGGATAAATGTTATGATGTACTTGGAAATGTTACTTTCAGAGACTACAACACTCAGAATCTTGTGAAATGTGTTTTGCTTATGATTTTGGGAAGTATGAGCAAAGCAAATCATATTCCCAAATTCAGATGCAGACAGTCTTTTCCAGAAAGAGAAAGGTTCCACTCGCTTGATGGTAAACCAAATGAAAGAATGTCAAGTTCAAGAAGACGTTGCCCTCTTGTATTGTCCCCTAGGCCACCAGAAGCCCTTTACCTTCCACCTCGACCCCTCTATGAATCAGGGAAGAGTGTTTTTTGCTCCTCGGTGCACCTACTCCAGGTCCTTACCGGCAGGCTATTTTTAGCTGCTATTAACCTCCTGCCTCCCACTGTTAGGGCCTCTCCGCCATCGCTGGAGGCCGCGGCCAATTTGTCTAATTAAAGGGAATTAAGGAAGAAGTGTCCCCAATTAAAGCAGGAGAAATCGTCCCTTTTGGAGGTAGGTTTTTGGCCACGGGTGTCAAACGGAATTAGCAGCGATGGAGACCTGTTCCAGCTTTGAAGGGGTTCAAAAGGAGGAAGACGTCGTCACTTGGAGGAGAAGAAGGACCCGGACTAATTGGAAGCAGGCTTGAATATTTACCGGAATGAGGCTTTGGGTGCAAGAGTCCCAAGCAAAACCCCAAAGGCATTTTTTTTAAAAAAATGGTATTTGCAACTTGATGGGTGTCATTGTGTGTCTTAATCCTGT